TCTGGCCTTCAAAAAATGAATTCACCTTTGGAAAACTCTACCAAACCTACTGATAATCACCCCTCCGACGGGAGAAAGCACAGTCCACCTGCTTTTTTGGACCTTGCTGACTCCGTATGTCATTTCCCATATATGACAAGTAATCGGTTCACAACGGTCATGACAGGCTGCTAGGTTGGGGAGTAATATGCCGGATATGTCAGCTGTGAGTCTTGCGGATTGTGTGTGTTGGTATGACTAACGAGACCCTTCAGCGCGTTGAGCTTAAGCGACTCGAACACGAAAGGCAGCGCCTTCTTCAGCGGAAAATGTTTGAGGATCAGATGCGTGCTCTAGAGCAACAGCAAGCCCAAGAACTCTTGAGCATCCCTTACGATCCGAATGCACCCAACGGGAACGGTGGTATGCAGCATCTAGCTGCGTCTGCCCCGACCACTCCCCCCCGGGTTAACGCGGTGCTTGGTGACGAATACCATGGGCTTAGGTCAGCTCGGGTTCAGCATTCGGTTGATGCAGAATCACTTTCTAAGGCCGTTGGGACTGCTGCTGGGAAGAGGAAGTCTGTTGCCTACGCGCCCTCGGTTAATCTTTCGCCTGATCCAGCTGCTCATTCAAACGGTCAGAGCTTTGCTCGCACTGCGGGTGCTAGGAGTATGCCTGCCAGTCGTCGCACTTCTGCCAGTAGCCAAGACGAGGAGTTGGCTGGTCATTTACAAGGTTTATCTATGGCCGGTGACCGCTCTAGGAAGGCCTCCCCAGTTCAGGCCCCATTGACTGCCTCTCTCTTGCGGAACAATAGCCGATATGGTGATGATGAGGGTGCCAGATATGCAAGTACCTATAACGCGGGCATGATGCTTGATGAGCAATTGGACCAGGAGATGCATAGTGGGTTTATTCCGGAGCTCGAAACAATGTTTTTTAATGCTCATTTTTAGATGCTATGCGTAACTTGCCTACTTCAGATGATGACAAGTACTCTTACGGGAACAAGGTCTGTAGTACGGTTCTTCTCCACGGGCGATACTCATGTGCTTCGATAGATATCTACGTCGTCTGCAGCCTTGGACTTGGCCCATATATCTCAAACGTCTCCTCGTTCCTCTTTCTCTGGACGTGGAATGGAATCCCGTGAGAAGTCATCAGAATGGCCTCAGTTCAACGGCATTCCTAGAGGACCCGAAGGCCTTGCTTCGCGACCCGATCGGAGGAATGTGACTAACCCGAACTTGACGCTTTCCGCCCCCTTGGATGACCTTGCCAGCAAGATAGGTGCTACTGTGTCTGCTTCATCGACACCCCTGGTTCATCAGCACCCTCAAATCGTGTCAAACCGGGGACAGACTCCTGCCTCGCGTCGTGGTTCGCCGCCCAACCTCCTAGACAGTTTGAATGCTACCACCCGGTCTGTTCCAGCTACACCGTTAGGAATCCCGACGGCCACGGCCCATCTCTTGAAAACGCCAGGGACTCCTCACACACCTGATACTCAGGGTGTGAACGGTCGACTTGCCAACCAGGTTGCACATCAATTGAGTGAAAGTGCAGTCAATGCTGGGGATTTACAGGCGTCATTGTCTCGACTTCCTTCTCAATATGAGAATAGCTCACTTACCTTTAGCACCATTCAAAACCCTGGGCTTGATGAGGTATGTGGTTCTCCCTATGTATAAAAATTTCACTCTAAAATCGATCCACCAGCAAACATATGGAATGGATCAAATGTATAACCTGAATTCAGGGATGGATAATGCCCGCTTCAACACTTATGGTTTCGAACCTAGCAATGGCCGTACAGCTAATGGGACCCCCTCATCTAATCCAACAAGCGGTTCGACTGCCCTTTATCACCATAATGGATCTCGTTATGGCCTTGGCTTACCCGGTCGCACGAATCCCGGAAATGCCGATAGTAAAATGAACGGTTTGCATGGTCCTAAACACAAGCGGGGTGATATCGATCGTGAATGTACGTTAGGCTGCATCGAGATCAAGGTGCAGGCACTGATTGACTCCTTACAGTCAATCGTTTTGCAGGCACGCGCTTGGAAGATTTGCAAGGCGAGATTCCAGCTCTGTGCAAGGATCAACACGGTTGCCGCTATCTCCAGAAGAAATTAGAGGAGGGGGTTCCCGAACACCGTGATATGATCTTCCGAGAGACATTCGGTCACTTTGCAGATCTGATGACTGGTATGTTTTAATCGTTCGTGGGATCCATCATGCATTCTAAGTTTTCTTTTTCTTCAAGATCCTTTTGGTAACTACCTTTGCCAGAAGCTGCTTGAGTATTCGACAGACGAGCAGCGCAATGTAATTTGCGAGTCGGTGGCTCAAGACCTTGTAAACATCTCTCTGAATATGCATGGTACACGTGCAGTGCAGAAGATGATTGATTTCCTCTCCACAAAGCGTCAGGCAAGTGTAGTTTCGCGCCAAATATCTCCTATCACACTTACGGGGCGGAAAGCAGGCTGATCTTAGATACAATGCTCAGATTCATTCTATCATTGTTGCACTCAGCCTGCATGTTGTGGTGCTTATCAAGGACTTGAATGGCAATCATGTCATCCAGAAATGTCTCAACAAGTTGGCCCCTGAAGATAATCAGGTAGCTATTTTTCCCTCACTGTCGGCATAATATTTGGTGGCTAATTACGCGCAGTTCATTTATAACGCTGTCGCTGCTAATTGCGTTGAGGTGGCCACCCACCGCCATGGTTGTTGTGTTTTGCAGCGGTGCATTGACCATGCGTCCGATCACCAGCGTATTCAGTTGGTCAATGAAATCACCTATAATGCTCTCACTCTTGTCCAGGATCCCTATGGGAACTATGTGATTACCTCTTCCTCTTCTAGTCGTGGACTGTGCTAATCTTCCTAATCCTCGCTAGGTTGTTCAATATATCCTTGATTTGAATGATAATCGGTTCAGCGACGCGGTCATTCGTCAGTTCGCCGGGAATGTCTGTGCCTTGTCTGTTCAAAAATTCAGCTCCAATGTCATCGAGAAGGTAGATCTAGTTTGATTTAGTCTCTGCTGATTGCTGATCAAGACTAGTGCGTTCGGGTTGCGGAGCACAGCACTCGCAAGATGTTAATTGAGGAGCTCCTCAACCGCACTCGTCTTGAAAAGCTGCTGCGTGATTCTTACGGTAATTACTGTGTTCAGGTATGTTTATTTCGTCTATTAGCGTGTATTTCTGGAATGCTCACTCTTGTGAAGACTGCGCTTGACTACGCGGAACCTACCCAGCGCGCACTATTGGTTGAGGGTATTCGCCCTGTTCTCCCCCTTATCAGGAACACGCCATATGGTAAACGGATCCAGAACAAGCTTCAACGTGAGCAAATGGATTTCGGTGGTGGATACCACAACCAGCAGAATATGGTCAACATCGCTGGTCTATCAGCCCACGGCGCCGGCCGTCACATGCCGCAGCCTCTTCACCAGACGAATCCTCTAGCTGACGTCTACGCGTCCCAAAATGGACTTTACCCCATCCAGCAGACCCAGGCATCATTCTCGCAAGGCCATCTGGCCAATCCCTTGCATAGCTTGCAGTCTATCGATGGATATGTTCTTCAAGGCAACTCTAGCCACTCCCAGGGCATCTCGCCTTCCCATTCTCATGGTGGTGGATTCTCTGGTACAGGCTTCAACGTTAGCCCTTTCGGTGGCGCCGGACTTACCTCGATCAACGACCCCTACCAAAGGTCCGCGTTCAGCTATGGGATGTAATTCGCCGACCACCATTCTCACTTTATTATGGCCCTCGATGGCGCTTCAAACATATGGATCCTCTTAATTTCTCTGTCCCCGGCCTACACCATGATACCATCCTAAAAAAAATCTACTCTACTTGAACCGTTTTTTTTGACTTGTTGTTTCATCGTGATTGCCTTACCCAGCTAACCTTTCTCATTCGGTTACCCGAACTATCATAACACCGAACCGCATTGTATCTTGCAACCGGCATATTCACCCCCCATACCTTGCTTTCTGCTTTCCTGCTACAGCACTTCTTATTGGCTCAACCACCACCACCATTTGTACTGGTCCCCACATCCACACCTAACTCGGTTGTCTGTCTAATAGTATCCTCGTCGCAGCACTATTTGTCTGTCATTCTGTAGTTATTCAACCCACCATCTGTATAAAGTCGTTAATCATTCAATGGACGTTACTTTGTCGGTCTATGTGCAGGAGATGGGACCAATTTCTGTTACTCAGGAGAATTGTCTTTATGGGTTCAGGATGTGCTAAACAAAGTGCAATAGCAGCGGGTGAAATAAGAATAACAAATGAATTAGCAGCAGGACTTGCAGTAGGCGTGTTATACTCAGATTGATTGATGTTTAACTGTCTTTTATGTATTGGCATGGGAGGGCCTTTTCTCGCATAGATGGATACATACAAGACAACGCGTTTATCAGAAAGTGAGTGAAATGCGGCGTGAGAGAGACGGTGTATGTACTTCTAGTTCACCGGTTCTATAATATCAAGAATATGTGCACATGAGACCCCACTCTGCGCGTCACTAAGCTGGATCGCGAAACGTACCTTGACGAACCCAATGGCTGCGGATTTCTCGCGGAAGCACTGACGGCAGAGGTCGAGTCCGTATTTGCGGATGAGACCGGCTTGGTGAGCGCAGAGGCGGCTGGTCGTTCGTGGGACATATTGGCCGGAGATTCAAGTAAAGAGAGGAATTGTGCGCACCACTGACGGCTACCCTTTCCGTACTTCCTGGGGCGGGAGAACCAAACGGCGTCGTGTGTCATTTTGGGTGGTAGATCTTGAGGCTGGGGTGAAACTCAATAAAAATGGCCACAGTATTCGTCCTGGATTCGTGCATACCTTGCCCGAGGAACTTTCGTGTGTACGACGATCTTGACGCTGCGAATATTTGTGATGGTGCTGCGTCGATAGAGCTTACATAAACTATATATATCACTGATTAGAGTTTAAACCCCGCGACTGGTGGCAAAAAAACACTAGCCCACCGCGAGGGTCGAACTCGCAGCCTTCAGATCACACTTGGGTAATCAAACCCGCCTAAGAGTCTGACGCTCTATCCGATTGAGCTAGGCGGGCTATGGTGTTGAATATCTTGTTGTTAACACGAGACACAGATAAGCCACCATGGCGGGGGCTTCCATTTTCAGCCCTAGCCTTGTGTGCTCCCACGTGTGTGTAACCCTGTTTGCAGGGTCTGTTGTCCCAAAATGGGACTTCCTTTGAATTCTCGATTAGTTAGGCCGTTGCGACGTCCAGATTGGGCGTTTTGACACTCATAAAATGCTCCCCATCCTGGGCACTGGAATCTTTCAACCCCTCTTCGCTACCCAGTAGCAAGTCGACAGGAAACTCCCTCCCGGACCCACTTCACAATGTCGTCCATTGACCTTCGCGGTATCGTTTACGCGACACTCACCGTTGCTGCCAAGGCTACCTTGGTGGTTCTTGCGGTTCTTGTCTCTCGGGGGTTATCTGGCTGATTAATTTGTTAATCATACAACCGCCTTCCGATCCCCTCAAGAACCTACCTGGGCCCAATGGTGGCGCTCTTCAAAATCATTTCCGTGATATTATGGAGTACGTAAATGTCGTTATTTAATTCATGTCTTAATTTAACCCCCCCCTTCAGTCCAAAACTTAGCCCCGAAACTCACGAGCGTTGGGTTAAGAGCTACGGAAAAACATTCCGCTTCCATGGCTTCGGACGGGTATGTCATACACCTAAATACCCCACTCCCCTTCTCATCTAGTTGCAGCATGATTACCGCCTGATGTCGTTTGACTTCCGTGTTATTTCCCATGTCCTAAGCTCAACTGTCTACGAAAAACCCTGGCAGACCCGTACACTCCTGGCACGGTTGATTGGACGAGGTTGGATTATATTTACTTCTAGTTGCAAATGTGAAATTCACCTGGCTTCTCAGGCATCTTCTCTATGGAGGGACCTGAGCATAAACTTCAGGTGCGTGACTCCCTCCTCCTCCTTCCGCCACCGGCTCACCACCTTATTTTCTAGCGCAAACTCATTGGCCCAGCCTTCTCAACGCAGACAGTTAAATCCATGACCCCGATCTTTTTCTCCAAAGCCGAGGAGCTGCGTGACCGCTGGGATGGTCTCGTCTCCGACCCGTCACTAGCAGCGGCATCCGAACCCGCCTATCCCGACCCAACCTTCACATCAACGGAAAAACCTGGCAATGTGATTATTGATATTGCCCACTGGTTTTCTCGCGCGTCATTCGACGTGATTGGTCTTGCTGGATTCGACTACCACTTCCATGCGCTTCAAGATGAAACTGAAGAGGTCTACCTTGCCTATCGCCGTATGTTTAATGTCACGGACAAAGGCCCTGGCTTGAAAGGACTCCTCGGCCTTTATTTCCCTCTTCTCGAGCGGCTCTGGGTGAGTAATTGCAGTTTCCGTTTTAATTACGACTGCTAACACCTCTCCAGCCTGACGAGGGTGGTCGAATTACCCGTGCTAGCCTGAAAGTCATCGACCGAGCTGGAAAGAAGCTCGTCGCTAACAAAAAAGAGGCCATTCTGGCCGAGACTGCCAATGGACAAGATGTAACTGGCAAAGATATCCTCAGCCTTCTGAGTATGTATTTCCTCGGTCTCATCAGACACCATTCTAACTTGACGCAGTTAAATCAAATCTATCAGCCGATCCTTCCAAACGTCTTTCTGACTCTGACCTTCTTGACCAATGTTCCACATTCCTTCTTGCGGGCTCCGACTCCGTTTCAACGGCTACCTCTTGGTGCCTCCACCTTCTTTCTACCCACCCCGAAATCCAAGCCCGTCTCCGCGATGAGATTACATCGATGTCTGCTTCCGCTACTAGCCTCCACCCGCCCACCAAAGTGTCTGAACTTAAGCGCATGAATTCCGTAGACTCTGGCTTCGCCGAGACATTTGAATCTAACGAATCCGCTGCCCAGTCCCACACGGAGTGGGAGGCATTGGAGGGGCTTCCTCTCCTCGATGCAGTCGTCCGTGAGACACTCAGGCTGTGCCCACCAGTACATGGTACCATCCGCGTCGCGACAGAAGATGACCGCATCCCCATCACCGAGCCTGTTACACTTCGCGACGGTACTGTTGTACAGAAGGGCGAATATCTAAGCATCCGCAAGGGCAGCTATATTCACGTCCCCATTGAGGGGCTCAACTTCTCAGAGGAGATCTGGGGCAGCGACGCCCGAGAATTCAAGTATGTATTTCCCTGCTTCGTCGCTCCGCCCATACTCATCTCCTGCCTCACGTAGCCCCGACCGCTGGACCAATCTCCCTGAAAAAGCGCGTTCACCCACCCACCCAGGCCTTGGAAACGTGATGACCTTCGGGTTCGGCCCCCACTCGTGTTTGGGGCATAAGTTTACCGTAGCCGAGATGAAGGTCTTCCTCGCGACCGTCCTGCCCGAGTTCACATTCAGCCCGGTGCAGGGCATCCAAATTAGCAAATTTAATGCCATCCTCACCCGCCCCTACGTCGCCAACAAGTGGGAACTCGGTACCCGGCTGCCGGTGTCTGTTGCGCGCTTCACCCCTGCATGATTTTTTAAATCGCTAAAATGGACCTCTCTATTCCTTGTGCTCCACTTTGAATGTGGTTACTTATAAATTGTAGCAACAGCCTGTCTGATTTGTGTATCTGTAGTATCGTATGTGTAGAGATGTGATTAGATATTAGCTGTTAATCAAATTCCCCGCACCCGGGGAGAAATCTATTAACCATAGTGAAACATGTCAATAAGGAAGGCCCGAACTATGTACCCTGCTCCTGTTTAGGCAACGAGGGTCGCAGAACGCAGTGCGGTAGTGAGTAGCTCGAGGTCAGAGTCCGACTCGTACATATCCGGCTCCGACTCTGAGCCGTGGATCGTCAGAACCTGGGATTTCGCTGGTTCTTTAGCGCCAGAGCGCGGAAGGGCGTACGGCGAATCTAGATATGTGGTAATAATGAGCGTCGGGTTTAACGGGCGCGATGGAGGCGTGGAAATACGGACCTTGAGATTTACCAGCCGCCATGCGGCTGATCTTGGGCGTCTTGTTCGCCCTTTGTTGGGTTGTAAATAGAGGAATGAGTTTGCCGACCCTGCATGAGCCGCAGACTGGGCAAATGGTCCATTAAATTTGATTTAATACCATGGGGCTATAGACGTACGGCATTCCTCGGGACGGATAGACTTGCTGAATCGACCGTAGCTGCTCGCGGTCTAGTGAGAGGTAACATTTAAGGCGGTGTTAACTTACATTTTGGAACATTTCTCGCATTCTGAGTTTATTATAAGCAGGTGGCCTGTTGCACTGAACTCTGAGACGCACCCCATTGGAATGGATAAGTGATTTCATAGTTATGTCTAGTCTATTAGATGGCCACGAATTGACAGTCAATTCATTATATCACAGGAGGGCATGAATTCATACCGATATATCTATGTTTGGCCGTTTTCGCATAACCCGCGCGGTCCTTATCACCATGTATATGAATGTTGACGAGGTTAAAATGAGGTTTCCTACCAGGATTTCCATAGCTTTCCATGTCCCTCCTTCGGATCTTGGTCTATAATCCAAGATGCGAGGTGGCACATTTCATGGGAGAGTGTGTTCCGAATGCGTTCTGTTAGGGGGTTAATGATCATACAACCGTGTTCAACAGTGCTTGAGGCAGACCATCGCAATCTAAAATCTTGATAGCAAGCTCAATTTCCGTAGTTTGCACTCCCTCTCTCGTTCTGTGCAAATGTGTATAAGTGGCCTTCTAAAGGGATAAATATGAGAATGAAACCTGTGCCATTTAGCTCGGCCAGCCGTACTCAGTAATCGCTTATTCCAATTCAGCTTGGTTTCCTTCGGCAGACCATTTTTGAATACGACGCGGTTGAGTTCGTCAAAGAGTTCCTGGGCGTACTTCTCCCTCCGCAGCTGTTCAGCAGCCGCTTGGGCCTTCGTGCCCTTGCGCGAACTGCCACCAGGCTGCCTTGCCTTGGTGGGTGAGCGGGATGGTGTGGCCGGGATGTTACTAACAGGTGATTCGAGATCCGAGTCGTCGCTGCTGGACAATTGCCTCTGTGCAGGTCGCTTGCGCTGGGGGGTGCTTGGCCCTGCACTTGTACTCAGACCATGACGAATAGGCTTCCACGCGCTCCGAGGCTCGTTTCTGTAGTTCCTCAGGATAGGTTGATAACGATTGTATTTCGCACTTACAGAGTCAGGATAGCATCGTCCGCTGCCAACGGTTCTCCGTCGTCGGCGTAGAGTGGTAGAAATTCCCCAGCCCCCTCCGCTGGGGGCTTTGGCACTTGAACCTTTGGCCCTACCGCCTTCTTGGGACGTTGTTGGGGCGGGTGGTCAAGTACTTCCACAGTCACTGACTTCTTTTGCTTCGGGGGCGGGTCAGAATCTGATTCTTCGGAGCTGAGGACAATTTTCCTGGCAGCTGTGAATTTCTTTTTTGCAGGCGTTACGTTCGTGTCGTCCAATTTACACTGTAAATATGTAGTATGGTTGTGCGGCAGGCATTTATTTACTCACTCGATCGGGGCGAGTGTAGGCCATGCGCCGGGTATTTTAAGAGCAGCAGCAGAGTCGTTTGCACTGTTAACTCGTCAGCCATTGTGAACGTCCACAGTAACATGGATGCCACTGACACGGCATCATCATCTTCGTCTGAGGATATTTCTATGATATCCAAGAGACCTTTTGGGGGGTTTCGAGGTAGCGAGTTACTTCCAACAAAGTTCTCAACTTCCAATCCAAAATATCGAGGCGTTGGAACACATACCGAACACTGCGTTCAACTTCCTCTTCACTATCCGGTATGATTTCCCCTTCCCAAGGAACTTTTCCCTTTCCCTTTGCAGATGACGGCGTAGCGTTTGCTTTGACACCACTAGGATACGGCTTCAGAACGATAGCTGAATCAAGTGCGTCCAACAGGGCTGAAGGTCCTGCTTTCACTGGACGCGTTTCATTGTGAGTTATGGCTGCCATTTTGTACATCCCAGTCGGAGGATATCAGTGGGCCAAATTTGAATGTTCTTTGCAGCGGACTTGGAGGCCAGGCTGGT